CCACCCTCTCACCCCCCTCTTCCCACCCTCCCTCCCTCCCCCTCCCTCACTGTCTGCCACCCTCCTCCCTCCCACCCACCCACCTTCCCTCCCACCCACCCTCCCTCCCTCCCTCCCTCCCCTCCTCCCTCCCTCCCTTCCCTCCCCTCTCTCCCTCCCTCCCCACCCCTCTCACCCCCTCTCTCTCAACCCTCCTCCCGCTTCCCCTCCCCCACCCCCCACCCTCCCTCTCACCCTCCCTCCCTCCCTCCCTCCACCACCCACCCACCCTCCTTCCCTCCCCTCACTCCCCACCCTCCCTCCACTCACCCACCCTCTCTCACCCTCTCCTCCGCTCCTCCTCCCCCCGCAGCCCCTGGACAGAGACGCGCCGACGGGGAGGGCCCGCTGGGAGCTCCAGGTCTCGGCCACCGACGGCGTCCACGAGGCCACGGCGCTCGTCCACGTCAACGTCAAGGACATCAACGACAACGCGCCCTTCTTCCCGTCGCCGGTCATCAACGGCACGGTGCCGGAGAACGCCAAAGCCGGTACTTATTCCCCGGGGGTTTTGTGTGTTGGGTTTTGGGTCGCGTGTTGGTTGGTTGGTTGGTGTGAGGGTTTCTGTTTGTTCGCTGTGGTTATGAGGGTGTGAATGTATGTGTGTATGTGTGTGTGTGTGTGTGTGTGTGTATGTGTGTATGTGTTGTATGTGTGATGTATGTGTGTATGTGTGTATGTGTGTATGTGTATGTATGTATTAATGTATGTATGTATGTATGTATGTATGTATGTATGTATGTATGTATGTATGTAAGTATGTATGTATATGTATGTATATGTATATGTATAATAATATATATATATATATATATATATATATATATATATTATATATATAATAAATATTATATTATATATAATATATATATATATAATGCTGTCTATGTCTCGTTCTGTGCCTCTCTCTCTCTCTCTCTCTCTCGTCTCTCTCTTCCTCTCTCTCTCTCTCTCTCTCTCTCTCTCTCTCTCTCTCTCTCTCTCTCTCTCTCTCTCTCTCTTTCTCTCTCTCTCTCTCTCTCGCTCATCTCCCGCGCTGAAAGATGATACTGAGCAACGTCATGTCATAGTGTTTCTTTAATTTTCCTCTATACCTGTTCTTTATCAACTTTGAGATAGATTTGATTCTTCCTCTTTCTCAACTCCTGATTTCGTCTCGTTCTCTCTTTTCTTTCCTCCTTTTCCTCTTTTCTCTTTTCGTCTTTTTATATTTTTTTCTATCTCTCTCTTCCCCTTTACCCTCTCCTTCTCTATTTTCTATTTTTTTTATCCTCTCTCTATCTGTCTGTCTCTCTTTCTCTCTGTTTGTCTGTCTGTCTCTCCCCTCTCTCTCTCCTCTTCTCCCCCCCCCCCCCGTCTAGAGCTTTTCCTATATCTCTCTCTTTTTCTTTATTTCTGTCTTCTTTCACTCCACTACTTTCTCATCGTTTCCTTCTTCTTTTTTTATCATATTTTCCTTCACTCCCTTCTTTTATCTCTTTTTTATCTGTTATTTCCTTCTCCATTCCTACTTCACTCTCGTATTATACCCTTTACTCTTTCTCGTCGTCTTTCTTTCCTCTTTCTCCCACTTTACGCGTGTTTTCTTCATTCCTTTTCTCTTCTTCCTGTCTCCTTTATCCCTTTTCCTCTTCCTTCCCTTTTCCTCTCCCTCCCTTCCTCTTTTTACTTTTCCCTTTTTCTCTGCTCCCATTCTTTATTTCCTTCCCTCCCTTCTTCCCCTGCGCTTCTCCTTCATTCATTCCTTCACTTTCATTCTTCATTCTTCATTCTTTTCTAGTTACCCTCTTCGCTTCCCCATTCTCCACTCTCTTCTCTTCTCTTCCTTTCTTTTCCCCTCATTCCTCCATGCCCATTCTTTACCTCCGTTTATCACCCATCTTTCTTATCCCTCTACGCCCATTTATCTTCTCTCCAGCTCTCCACTCCCCGTCTTCCTTCCCCTCCCTCCCCTTCCCTTTCCCTATCTCTCTTTCCCTAATATTTCTCTACGTCCATTTTCACCCCCCATTCTATCTCTCCTCTCCTCTCTTTCTCTTCCCTTCCCTTCTCTTCCTGTCCCTCTCCCCCCATTCATTCCTTACTCTCCTTCTATTTCTCTTCTCTATTCCCTTCTCTCCCCGTCACTCTTTCCTACCTTGTTTCCTCCACGTCATTCTATCTCTCTCTCTTTTCCCCTCTTTCCCCTTTCTCCCTGTCCCTTTTTCCCCTTCATTCCCTCTCTCTCCTTCTTCCTTCCTCTGCCTTTTCTCCTTTATTCTCACCTCTGTTCTGTATCTCTTCTCCTTCTCCCCATCTCCTCCTCTCCCTTGTTCCCCCTTCATTCCCCCCCCACTCTACCTCTCTTCTCCTCTCCCCATCTGCCTTCCTCTCCCTTTTCACTCTTTCCCTCCTTCCCCTTCATTCCTTTTCCTATTCTGTCTATCTTCACCTCTTCCCATGTTCCCATCCTTCCTTCCTCTCCTTTTTCTCTTTCCCTCTCCCTTTTTTCTCTTTCCCCTCTCCCTTTTCTCTCTTCCCCCCCCCCCCGTCCATTCCCCACCCCCGACTCTACCTCTCTCATCCTCTCCCCATCTTCCTTCCTCTCCCCTTTCCCCCCTTCATTCCCTTTTCTATTCTCTCCCCAAATTCCTTCCCTCTCCTTTTCACTCTTTCCTCTCTTCCCCCTTCCTTCCCCTCCCTCTTTCCCCCTTTCATTCCCCACTCCCCGACTCAACCTCTCTCCTCCTCTCCCGAAGGCTCCGAAGTGACGCAGGTGTCGGCCACCGACTACGACGACCCGCTGGAGAGCACCAACGCCGTCTTGACCTACGCCGTCGAGAGAACGTCATTGACGAGGTGTCCGGGCAGCGATCTTCACCATCGACCCCAACACGGGAAGGTGAGGGTGGTGGTAGGGTGGGGGTGGCGGTAGGGTGGGGTGGGGGTGGTGGGGTGGGGTGTGGAGGGGATGGGGGGTGGGTGTCGGGGTGGGGGATGGTGGGGAGGGGATGGGTATGTGGTGGGGTGGAGGGTGAAGGGGGTGGCGGTGAGATGGGGGGTGGGGGCTGACCTAACTGCCGTCGGAGAAGAACGTCATTGACGAGGTGTCCGGGCAGCCGATCTTCACCATCGACCCCAACACGGGAAGGTGAGACAGGTGGTGGTGGCGGTGGATGGTGGTGGGGGTGCGGTGGTGTGTTGTGGGGAAGGGCGTGTGTGGGAGTGGGGGTGGGGGTGGGTTGGGGGGATGGGGGGGTGTGGAGGAAGGTGGGGTGGGGGTGGGATGGGTGTGGGATGGGGGGTGGCGGTGGGATGGGGGTGGGCTTGACCTACGCCGTCGAGAAGAACGTCATTGGACGAGGTGTCCGGGCAGCCTGATCTTCACACATCGACCCAACACGGGAAGGTGAGGGTGTGGCGGGAGGGGTGGGGGTGTGTGGGGTGGGTGGGGTGGGGGGATGTGGTAAGGGGGATGGGGGTGGGCGTGGGGTGGGTGTGTGGGGGGATGGGGGGATGGGTGTGTGGGTGGTGGTGGGGTGAGTGGCGGCGGGGTTGGTGGGACTTTTGTCTATATTGTATTTATAGCTTAATGTACATCTATACATGTGTTTATATCTGTATCTATCTATTTATCTATTTTTTTCTCTCGCTCTTTCTCACTCCTCTCTCTCTTTCTCTCTCTCTCTCTCTCTCTCTCTCTCTCTCTCTCTCTCTCTCTCTCTCTCTTCTCTCTCTCTCTCTCTCTCTCTTCTAGTTCTGTCTTTCTATCTATCTCACTGTCTGTCTAGCGGTCAATCAATCAATCAATCTTTCTATTTATCAATCTGTCTGTCTAGCTAGCCATCTCTCTCTATCTATCTACGTGTCCATCCACAGACACGCACACACATATATGTGCATACATTTGTGTCTATCTAGATCTGTATCTACATTTATATCTATATCTCTATATTTATATCTATCTATCTATCTCTATATTTATATCTATCTATCTATCTCTATATTTATGTCTATCTATCTATCTCTATATTTATAAGTGTGTGTTTGTGAGTGAAAGTGAATATGCGTATGTGTGTGTGTATGGGTGTGTGCGTTTGTGTGTGTGAGAGAGTGAATGAAGATATACACATAAACACCCACTCACTCATATTTTCTAGATCTCTCTCTCTCTCTTACCCCCCCTCTCTCTCTGTCTCTCTTTCTATCTATCTATCTATCTCTTTCTCTCCCTCTCTCTCTCATTCCCTCTGTCAGTCTCCCTCTCTCTCACTCTTTCCCTTCCTCTCTCAACTCTTTCCTCCCTCTCCCACCACCCCCTCTCTCTCCTCCTTCTCCCCCTCTCCTTCTCTTTCTCTCTCTCCCTCTTTCTCCTTCCCCTTTACGATGAAGCCACTTAAAGACCATGTTTGCTAAATATTTCTCTCGGTTCTCCTTCGCCCCCTTCAGGATAACGACTGCCCTCTGCTGCCTGGACCGGGAGAAGACGCCAACTTACGCCATCCAGGTCGTGGCTTCTGACGGAGGGGGTCTCAAAGGTAATTTGAGGGTCTTTTGTTTTCTGTTTTTTTTTTCTTTTCTTTTCTTTTTTGTGATTGTTGTCTGTATTTGTGTGTGTGTTTTATGTTCCTATTTTTTAGCTCAGTTTTTTTGGGGGAATGTGTTTTGTCGTGTTTCTCTGTTTGTTTTCTCTCTTTTTTTTTTCGTTTCTAAATCCCATTTCTTTTATCTTTTATGTCAATGCTCTCTTTCCGCTTGTCTTACCGGAGGATTTTTGCCATTGGGAAAATTGCGTTCATTGTGTGTTCGAGTTTGCTGAATTTCCGCGTAGTTTTGCTGTCATTTATAACATTTTCTTTCTATTTCCAGTCTCCGGTTCAGACTTTGTGTGCGTGGGTTTAGCTGTGTGGTGTTCTGCGTATGAACGTGTGTGTATGTTTTCGTATTGGAAGCGGTTGTGTATGTGCGTGGTTTTGCTGTCATTTATAACATTTTCTTTCTATTTCCAGTCTCCGGTTCAGACTGTTTGTGTGTGCGTGGGTTTAGCTGTGTGTGTATTCTGCGTATGAACGTGTGTGTATGTTTCGTATCTGGAAACGGTTGTGTATGTGCGTATTTTAGAATGATTGATGCGCGGACTGTACGTCAGTTTGCCTGCCCGTGCGTGCGCGTGTGTACTGCCCGAAGATTAATGAAAGTAAACGGTTTATGTACAAACTTTTAGCTTTTAGCCTTAATAGCGAGAGCAAGCGGGAGTTACGAGCCTCCGAAAGAAACCTGCGAATGGCTTCCCCGGGGCCCGCTGTTTCAGCATTGACGTCGATTTTACGCTTGCATTTTATAGCGTTTTGATCATCGGCGGAAGCTCAACGCCCACGCCGCCCCCTTCCCCCCTCCCCACCCCTCTTATTCCGGGACACCTCAGCACCGTCCTCACCCCACCCCCTTATTCCGGGCCACTTTTGTACCGTCTTCCCCCCCAACCCCCACCCCCACCCATCTTCTCTTATTCCGGGCCACTTTGGTACCGTCTTCCCCCCCCACTCCCACCCCACCCCCCTTATTCCGGCCACCTTTGGCACCGTCCTCAAATGGCGCCTCAGATGAAGCAGGCGCGAGGGGAGGGGGGAGGGGAGGGGAGGTCATGAGGGGAGGGGGAGAGGGGAGGTGAGGGAGGGGAGAGGGGAGATCATGAGGGGAGGGGGAGGGGGAGAGGGGAGGTCATGAGGGGAGGAGGGGGAGAGGGGAGGTCATGAGGGGAGGGGAGAGGGAGGTCATGAGGGGAGGGGAGAGGGAAGAGGGGAAGGGGGAGAGGGAGGTCATACGTCACGCAGCCGGAGGAGTCATGCATCAGCGGCTGGCGACGGCGGGCCGGGATTCCCCTTCCTCGCTCGCGCTGGCTGCCCTTCGGCGGGATTTCCTGAGGGCGCTGACGGAGGGCCGCCGCTGCATGTGCATATAGGTGTATATATATATTTACATATATATATATATATATATATATATAATATATATTATATATATATTATATATATATATATATATATATATATACACATAAAACACACACACAACACACACACACACACACACAACACATATATATATATATATATATATTATATATATATATATATATATATATATATATATATATTATATATATATATATATATATATATATATATATATATGTATGTGTGTGTGTGTTCTGAGGAGAGAAAAAGGAAGAGAGAATTCAAATTGGGAATAACAAGCCTTAGAACTTCTAGTCAAAAATCATTTTTCAATACAAGCAACAGAAACGCCTTTGTTCGCCAATCTCCGTTTTCTACCAATTTGGACATTCAGAGTTAATGAGGGGAGACTTGCATAGAGAGGAAATAAAACAGGATTTAGAGCTATTTTCACAATATCGAGTCAACAATATTCGTGCCGAGAAGCGTCCAAAGCCGGTAGAGTAAATGCTCGAAGATTAAGAGAGAGGGAGAGAGGGGGAAGAGGGGAGAGGGGGAGGGAGGGAGAGGGGGAGAGAGGGAGAGAGGGGAGAGGGGGAGAGGGGGAGAGAGGGAGAGAGGAGAGGAGAGAGAGGAGAGAGAGGGAGAGAGGGAGAGAGGGAGAGGGGGAGAGAGAGAGGGGGGAGAGGGGAGAGGGGAGGGAGGGAAGAGGGGAGAGAGGGAGAGAGGGGGAGAGAGGGGAGAGGGGGAGAGAGGGAGAGAGGAGAGGAGAGAGAGGGAGAGGGGAGAGAGAAGAGGGAGAGAGAGAGAGGGAGAGAGGGGAGAGGGGGAGAGAGAGGGGGGAGAGGGAAAGCAAGAGAGAGAGAGAGAAAGAGAGAGAGAAAAAAAGAAAGAAAGACAGAGAAAGAGCAAGAGCAAAAAGAAAAAGAAATACCAGGGGCAAGAGAAAGATAACAAGAAGCAAAAAGTTAAAGAGAAAGAAAAAAAAGAAAAAAAAAAAAAAACTTGTATGAGCCGCCTCCGTGATCCTCCGCCGAGCAGAAGTCAATCCCACGACTGCAAGCACCACAAAAGGAAAGCCATTTGGCAGATAATGATGGGCACAAAACACGAGCTGGACAAAGAACTGCATTAACGTGAAGCGGTATTTTCCTCTTTAAAGAGTTCACTAAAACAAAATCCTGGGTCAAGTTTGCGTTTAGAATACGATCGGGCGTTTTACGTAGAGAAAAAAAAGAGGTCAGGATTGTGCTTTACTTACTGTTTGTTTTTTGTAGCGTAAGGAATAAAATATCTTTAGGGATTTTTCGAAATACAATGAAAATGGAACAAAAATATTCTTACTTTGACATTGCTTCAAAGCAGAAAGGAAGAGAAAGAATGCTAAAAAAGTTTTATTTATTTATTTTTTATTCCTTTCTGTCGTTTCTCCTACTCGTTTTCTCTGTTTCCTTTCTTTCTTTTCTCTACCCCCATCTCTATCTGTCTCTGTCTGCCTGTCTGTCTCTCTCTCTCTTTCCCTCAGTCCCTCTCTCGCCCCCCTATCTCTTTCTCTCTCTCGCTCTCTCCTCTCTCTGTCTGTCTGTCTGTCTGTCTGTCTGTCTCTCTGTCTCTCTCTCTCTCTCTCTCTCTCTCTCTCTCTCTCTCTCTCTCTCTCTCTCTCTCTCTCTCTTCTCTCTCTCTCTCTCTCTCTCTCTCTTTTTTTTTTTTTTTTTTTTTTTTTTTTTTTTTTTTGAGAACGAAGCCCCATTCAGTATGCAGGTTCGGTCTTTCGTCGTTTTTTCCAATTACGGTTCCTGATAGATTTCGCATGGGATGGATCCCCGGCTGGACCTTGTTTCTCTCCTTTTTTTATATTATTTTTAGTTTTTTTTGGCTTTAAGATCACGAGTTAGGAATTGATTTTTGTCTTTGTAAGGAATTGCTCTTTTTTTTTTAATCCTTTTTGTCTTTGTAGAATCAATGCAGGTTCGTTGCGAGTTTTTCCAGATGTTCTGTCGGATGTGTGTGTATAAGGATGTGTGCTTGTATTGTGTTTTTTTTTTTGTTTTTTTTAGCCATTTGTTTTTTTTTCATCATTTTCTATTTTTGCGTTTGTTTGTCTTTGTATATGTTTGTTTGTCTATATATATATATATATATATATATATATATATATATATATATATATATATATATATATATATATATATATGTATAAATCCTCTTCTACATTCTCCAACGACTTCAAAACTTTTTGTCTTCTATTTTTTTTTTTTTGTTATTCCTTTGGATAATATGTCTTCACCTCATGCTCTTTCTATATACTTCATCAACTTATTCTTTCTAATTATAATTCCTTATTCATTACTTATTATTGTTATTACATTATTATCATCATTATTATTATTATCATTATTATTTTCAGTTCCCAGATCCCTCTATGAATCATCCTTCCAGCTACTCATTAGAAAATAACAATTAATAAATTGATAAAAATTATAATGAATTAAAAAAAAACTAATTTAATAAATAAATGAGGGAAAAATTATTCACTGTACGATCTTAATTTCACTGTGTTGTACATACATAAATGAAAAATGCAATAAATAAATGAACAAAAGTTAATTCACTGTCTTGCACATAAAGAAAAAAAATAAAGTTAATTCACTGCACTGTACATGAAAAAAAAAAAATTATATATTATACAAATGAACAAAAGCTAATTCACACACTCCCTTCCCCCCCCCCCCCCCCCCCTTCCGACCCCGAAGGAACAGGCACGGTGCTCGTGGTCGTGGGCGACGAGAACGACGTGTCCCCCAAGTTCTCGAGGTCCGAGTGGCTACTGACGGTGCACGAGTCGGTGCCCCTCAACACGTCTCTCGCCTCCCTCACCGTCGACGACCCCGACGTCACCAACGACTTCGCCTTTAGGGTAAGTGAGGGGGGAGGGGGTGTCAGGGTAGGGGGGGGGGGTGGTGGGTTAGGGGTAGGGGGAGGGTGGTGGGGTCAGGGGAGGGGGAGGGGGGGTGGGGTTAGGGTAGGGGGGGGTTGGTGTCAGGGGAGAAGGGTGGGTGGGGTTAGGTAGGGGGAGGGAGGGGTGTCAGGGTGTGAGAGGGAAGGGAGGTGTCAGGGTAAGGGGAGGTGGTGTCAGGGTAGGGGGAGGAGAGGGGGTAGGGGGCGTTTAGGGTAAGGGAGGGGTGGGGGGGGTGGGGGGTTGTTCAGGGTAGGGAGGGGAAGGTGTTCAGGGTAGGGTAGGTGGTGTCAGTGGTGTCAGGGTAGGGGGAAGGGGTGTTCAGGGTAGGGGGAGGGGAAAGGGGTGTCAGGGTAGGGAGGGGAGGGGGTGTCAGGGTAGGTGGGAGGAGGGTGTGGGGGTGTCAGGGTAGGGGAAGTGATTTCAGGGGTAGCGGGGTGGTGGGGTCAGAGTAGGGTAGGGAATGTCTGTCAGGTAGGGGGGTGAGGGGTGTCAGGGTCAGGGTAGGGGAGGGGTGTCAGGGTGGGGAAGGGTGTGGTGTCAGGGTAAGGTAGGGGGTGTCAGAGTAGGGAGCGGTGTCAGGGTAGGGGAATGTGTCAGGGTAGGGATGTAGGGTGTCATGTTAGGGAAGTCGGGTGTCAGGAGGTAGGGGTGGGGGGTCAGGGTTAGGGGAAGGGGTGTCAGGAGGGTAGGGGGTGGGTGGGGTAGCAGCGAGGTGGTGATATGGAAACACTTGAATTTGATCTCGTAAGACCAATTAAGAAAATATGTGATAGCTCCGGTTCGCCTGTTTGCAATAGTATCACCGACGTTTTCAAAGCGGAAATTAAACTGCAATTCATGATCATTTTAATGTGGTTCGCCTGTTATTTGTTCTGATTATTTTTATTACAAATGGCCAGATGTATTTTATAGCGCGCATAAATGATACAAATAAGGCTATTATATCGTCTGGAGGGGGGAGGGGGGAGCGGACGTCCAGGACGGGGAGGGGGGAGCGGAGTCCAGGAGTGGGGAGGGGGATAGGGGGAAGCGGACGTCCTGGGGGGGGGGAGGGAAGCGGACGTCC